CCCCAAAACCCCAAAACCCCAAAACCCCTATTACTCTAAAAATGATTGAAAACTTTATAATGAACTATTCCTTGCATGGACTACTGGAAAACCTGATTTCCTTCCAGACAATTGTGATTGATCAACTCTGATCTGGGCTTCGAGGTAATTCTCAAAAAGAGACCTATTTCCCTAAATTTTAGCTCTACAACATACGTTGTTGTACTCTCTGAATCTGTTCATTGGTACATTACTTCGAGAATACCGATGACGAGTCTGGGAGTTAGAAAATTTAAGGAAATTATTCCTGTTACGCTTCTGTCGCTTTGATAATTCTTTCAGCTTGAAACCTCCTCCTGTCGCATAAATATCTGGCTTCTAAAGACTCTGATAATAGACTTACTCATTTTGGGAATGATGTACTTAAAGACCTATATTTCATAACCAGCACTAACTCTGATAAGATTTTTGGAGGAATAAATGGAGTGAATGTAGTTCTATTCAATTTTGGTCTATGGCTTTCTTCCTTCACACATTCTAAGGGTGTTTCTCGGTGCATGCTAGCATCTATGGATCCATGGAGGTTTAATTTAGACATATCCTGTGATAGATCTGGGTCCATGTCGTGTATGTTTATAGAGTCAAGATATCAATCTAATGCGATCATAGTTTTAGCAGCTTCCTTCCCAGTATCATTTTTGAGGTCGATATCATCCCAAGCTACATCATTAGCCCTTATTTTCAAAATAGTGATAGTCTCTTTATCACAGGTTTCTACACCTCATTGGATCTCTGCAGGTTGTGTTTTTACAATAGTTGTTGTAGGCTTTAACCCTGCTAGCATTCTGATTTGCTCATTCTGGAAGCTATTCCTTTTATTGGCACTTTGCGAAGTATGTGACTCCTGATCATCAGAGTACAAAGTATGGTAACTCTTATTCTTAGTCAACGACCTTTCATCATTACTCGAAATACTACTGACTTCTTCAATTCCAATCAGGCCTCTGGCTTCTTCTGAGTAATTCCTGATTTTCTTTAGATTAAAGGAGTCTCCATCAAGGATATCCTTGAAGATGACCTTAATGTTCCTGCTTGCATCGACTTTCATATCTTTGCTTTCTTTCTCCCTAAAATTTAGGTAAAATATACACTAAGTTTCTTAGATTCTTGAAGAAGTGCTTCATGGCACGCTCTCTGATGGAATATTTCATGAACAAGGCCTGAGTGCTTCTCTTAATAGTTTTTATAATTGCCATCTTTGCCTTAAAAATATCTTGTCGAGATTTATTAACCTTCTTGGTGCTTTCTGTAGAATTACTCTTGAAGGAGTTCTCAAACCTCTGTCTCATTAAGGCATTGTCTAGGCATGCGACTAGTTTTTCATATAATTTTTCGATAATTTTAATCACTTCTGAAGAGCTGATCCTGCTATTTTCAGCCTCTGCTTCAGAATTAGTAGAACCTTCATGAGAGAAATTGGATAAAGACTTGTTAAAATTAAATGGTTTCAAATCTTTTGATTTCATCGCAAAACTACTTCCCTTTGAAAATGCACTTGCTTTTGTAAACTTCTTTCTCTTAAGTTTGGCCTTGGAGAACTTGAAGCCTTCACTCTCTATGAGAAAATAAGGTTGTGTCAAACACAGTAGACTTACTTTTGAATTTATTGTTGACAAGGTCATCTACATTTTGCAGAAGCTCAGAATTCAAAAAGATATAATCATTCTTAGGTGTCTCTCCATCACCGATATCCAGCTCATCAATGAAGCTCATTGATGAGGAAATGAAAGAGTCTTTACTCCTCTTTTTATTTGAATTTGAAACTTCTTCTAGCCGCACCAGAACTAAAGAGTCATGAGAAGACATACCTTGCTGCAATAGAGGATCTCTTCTTTCTTCTCTGGGATACATACTTTTCTTCAGTCTGAACCAGCTGGTTCTTGACCTAGAGATTATCTGTTAGCGAGTACAAATTTCTTGATGTTTAACGTTTTCCTACTAAATTTCTATGAATTATTTGTTAAGAATACCATATTAATTTTGAAATCTTTTTCTGAAGCTGAAGAAGAGTTCAGATCTATATCCTCTATTTTTCCTATAAGGTGTTGGATCTTCTGATCCTGGCTCATTCTGGTAGTAATATTCTATAGCATTTAGAGAAAAGTACTTTCAAGCCTCTTATTTTATGCATATTTCCTTCATTGAGGCCTCCTCGGGTTCTAAGTTTTGGTTTACTCATTTGTTTAGTTGGCTTTTCAAGCTCAACAGGGATGATTACTGGGCTACCATGATTTATTTGATTCAATTTATCCTTTATGCGGCTAGAGTTTACTTCATCAGACCCATCACTTTCAACCCCATGGGTGGTTTTCCTTTTAATCTTTTTAGCATTGCTAATACTTCTTTCTTTACGATGGGAAGAGGAAGCTTTTTCTTGGATTCTTTTAAGCCGATGGCTGCCTATAGCTAGTTAAATTGTCTTACTTTTCCCATCGGAATTAACTGTCTCACCCATGAGCTCCTTTAGCTCTCTACAGTACTCAACAGTACTGGCGAATGATATAGACATTGTTCTGGTGTAATCCTTGAGATTGGATTTTGCGAATACTCTAGAGTTCAGTAAGGTAATTACTGTTTCAAAATATACTGAAGGTTCTCTACTTCCTCAATAAACCCTTTCATCCTGTATTCATCAGAGGACAGCGTAGGAATATCAGAAATAGTCATTTTGCTAACCTTATCATGAATACTGTTCTTAAAGACTGGTTCCATGCTATTCTTAAGGACTCTCTTTTGCATTTCGATTGACTCCAAGACTTCCTTAGTGACTTTATTTGCTCTCGATAGAAAGACTTGAAAAGAGCTTGACTATATTTTCTTGGTAGAATCATTTCTCTTCAAGGCTATAGGTTAGTAGAGGAGGCATACACATCCATATACGTTTCAAGCAGTTTATCACGCATATGGAACAACTCAAATGCTGTTCTTTGGGATGTCTTTAACTGATTTGAAAGAGACTTATTGGAGAAATAAATGGTCCTTAGTGCATTCTTCATTTTCGATATCATGTCATGAGCATCTGTTATAATCATTCATTCAAGAGAATGGTCTATCTTCAGGAGATTGTTGATTTCTTCATCTTCAATCACTTCTCGTACTTTATGCCTAGAGAGTAGTGACCATATACTTACGATTCCATATCTGCGATAATAGCATTGAGCCGTTCTATTTCTAAATTCTTGGTCATTTTAGTTTCGTTAAGAGCAGCTTCAAGTGCATCTATATAAAATGTGCTTTTGTTGCGCTCCCATTGGATTCGTTGTCGAAGCTCATTTTCCATGATTCGCATATCCCATTGGTATTCTTGGCGTTCATTTTCCATTTCTTCCTCAATCTCATCTTGGGTTTTCCATAAACCATTGATGAAATCTCCGATTTCTGCAGGTGTTTGATAAAGCTCATGGTTTTCATCATAATCTGCGATGAAATCCCTGAGCTCTTGGTACTCTTCCTCACTACGTTGGTCTTGATTGGCTTCGTTCTTATTTATCCTTGAACACATCTATCTCATATGAGAGTTGGGAATAATCATTCTCCAGACCGTTGATCAAGTTGTCAATGTTGCTCATCCTCTCCTTAAGGTTTGTCACAGTTTTCTCCTTTTGTTCTCTATACTTTAGGACTAGGAATACGTTTGCTGCTTTTTCAAATCTGTTATAAATTTCAGCACTTTTTCACGGTTCTTGGAGTCTCCATATCCATAGCTGATATTTTTGTTAGCGAGGATTTGATGCACCGCATCAAAATCATTCTCTAGGATACTCTCAGAGATTGGACTTGCGCCTGGTTTCTTTTTAGAAGGTTTCCTTCTCAAAGCTTCATACCTCCCAAAATCTCTTCTATCAACTGCTTTAGTGGTGGCTGGCAAATTGTTGGTCATGCGACTACTCTTCTTCTTCTTTTTCTTCTTAACTAAAACATCATTATGGATGCTTACTCTTGACAATAGCTTTATTTCTGATCTACTGTGTCTTCCTCAGGAGTCTTTCCTCTATCATTATGGAAGAAATAAAGTTTCTTCAGAATATCTTTCTAACAAATCATTCTAAGCTCTTACCGGATGATGGATAGGGGTTTTATCAGGACTAGCCTTCCCATCAGTGCGTTCTACAGAGAGGTTAGTCTCAGGACTTCCTGACTGGAATCTTTTATCAATGCCACGATCTTCCAAATGAACAGTCTGCTCTTTGGAGATGTTAGTTTCCCTTTCTTTCTTCTCTTGTCTTTGCAGCTTCACTAATTTCTGATTAATCTCATAAATCTTGTTTGCCTTCGGGTTTACCTTTCTTTGGATAGGATTTGTAGCAGGTAGATTGGTCTGATCTCTCTCGTTAAGGTATTTATTAGCCAAAGCAGTCTTGTTCTTCATGATGAAGTTGAAGTCGTGTCCACTCGGTTTTTGGGGTTGGATCCTTTCTCTTTTCAATCTCACTTGTCTTTTTCTAAGGAAGCCGGATTTAGGATTGTTGGAAGCTTTTAGAGTTTCTTCATGTGAATCTAAAATTAGCACCAAAAGTTACTATTTTGATTCTTTGATAGGTCTGATAATTGACTTGTCGATTCCATTCTTGTTCTGGCCATCTGACGGCTATTTTCACATAATTTTATTTGATTACCTTCGTTTTATCTTAGAGGTATTGGCCATGGGGGATCTACTCCAAACAGAGCTGATATCATTTGGGCTATTCCGGTTTCTGCAGGGTTAATACAGTAAGGTTACTCCTCCATAGCACTCTGGTTCCCCCTCTCAATTATATTTTCTGGTTTTCTTGGGATGGAATCAAAGATTTCTGAATTCTTTTGCTGATCTTATCTTCCTGTGCCATAATTGTTAGGGAAGTTCAGAGATCGCCAAGCAAATTTTAGAATAATTCTTTGAAATTCAAATGAAAATTACATTCATTTCTCCTGTTGAAATATTTTGATCGATGATATCTGTCGGACTTCCCTACATCAAAGAGGTTAATTAGTAATTTATTATGAAGAGATCAATACTATTAGGCCTACAGGAATCTTCTTCCTTGAAATATGACTTTTGAAATCTATAACTTAATCAGAAGCACCTACCATTCTTCATCTCTGCCTTATCATTTATAGAAATGGTAAACTGGTGTCTTATGCCGCTATAAGAGTCCCTGTTAGAATAATAAAAACAAAAACGCAGAGGAAAACACACAAAAACTCTTGCATGGAGTAAGTTTACCTGGGATCCATTTGATTTTCAATTTTAATTAGTTATTTAGGGGTTTTGGGGTTTTGGGGTTTTGGGG